TCATTAAATTCCATGTGTGCGTGGGTTTGGCCGCCGCTCTGCCGTCGAGGCGTCCGTGGCGGCGAGCTGCGTGGGTGTACTGCTGGCGCTGGGTGTGCTGGCTGGCAGGAGAGGAGCATGTGGCCTGAATACGTGATGAGTGAATGACCATGTTCCAGCTGGTAAGAGAAGGTGTGTGAGTATGTGGGTACGGTATGTGGTTGGTGAATGGCCATGTTCTAGCTGGCAGGAGAGGGTTTGTGAGTATGTGGACAGACTATGTGGTGAGTGAATGACCATGTTCCAGCTGGCAAGAGGTGTGTGAATATCTGGGCAGCATATGTAGTGAGTGAATCACTATGTTCCAGCTAGCAAGTGAAGGTGTGTGTACATGTGGGTACGATATGTGTGGTTCCAGATGGCAGGAGAGGGTGTGCGAGAGTGCGGACAGCATATGTGGTGAGTGAATCACCATGTTGCAGCTGACAGGAGAGGGTGTATGGGTTTATAGACAAAAACTGTTTGTGGCGAGTGAATGGTGAATGGTTGAGTGAACATGTTCTAACTAGCAGGAGACGGTGTGTGAATATGTGGACAGCATATGTGGTGAGTGAATAGGTAGGTGAAATATTCTAGCTGAGTATGAGGGCACGATATGTGGTGAGCGAATTTTAAAGAGTAGGTGAACATTTTCTGGTTGAAAAAACGTAGCATGTGGTTTGAATATGTCATGAGTATGTAGATGAGTGAACGAGCACGTTCTGGCTGACAGGAAAGAGTGTGAGTATGTGAGTATACTGACGAGTGAATGAATGTGTGCTGGATGGCAAAAAAAAAAAAAAAGAAATAAAAAACATACGGTTTGAATGTGCGACGAGTGAATGGTTGAACGAATGAACAAACATGGCAAGACGACGGAAAAGAGTAAGTGGGATGAACTTATGATGAATGGATGTGTGGATGAATGGATGAGTAAATGGACATGTACCGATTGGAAGGAAAAGCATTCAATGAGTCAGTGAGTGAGTGAATGAGCATAAGGGACCTGGTGGAAGATAACGGAGTCTATGTGTGTTATGAACTGTTTTTAGCAGCCAACATCAACCGGCGATGAGTAATAATGACTAGGTTATACGGTAAGTGTTCTTCAATTAAGTATGGTAATTGTAAGTTATGAGGTAAGCGTTTTGTTGTTAGTTAAATGAAAGATAACGATATATGGTATGCATTTACGAATAAATAGTGGGATGTACGATAAACACTCGAACGTCTGCCCTAAAAAAAAACGTAATTAAGAAGTATTAGCGGTACGAAAGAGATAGAGATGGAATTTTGCGCAAATATTTTAAAACAAACTGCAGTACTCAGGTATTAGATGGATGATAAGCCAGAAACAAAAACAAAAACAAAAAACAAAATATAATAATGAAAAATACCAAAAAGCACAATGGTACTGTCTGGATATGTTAAGAATATAAAATATCCAATGGTATTGGCTCTAATACATGTCGAAAGTATGAGAAACAAACCAGCACAACGGCATTAGCTGGCTACGATATGACCGTCGCCAGTAAACTCCGAGAAGGAAAATCAATGTAACGAGTAGATTGTCTGTTATGGTAATTGCAGCTTACAACCAGATATCACGTGTCCTTCTTTAAAGGAGGGGGGGAGGGGGTACTTGCTCCATGTACAGAGAATGCTATCGCCGCAGATATCAGTCTGTTTGTGCTTTATTCTTAGAGACAATGCGGTACGCGTAGGAGTGGGAGTGGGTGTGTGTGTGTGTGTGTGTGTGTGTGTGTGTGTGTGTGTGTGTGTGTGTGTGTGTGTGTGTGTGTGTGTGTGTGTGTGTGAGTGAGTGAGTGAGTGAGTGAGTGAGTGAGTGAGTGAGTGAGTGAGTGAGTGAGTGAGTGAGTGAGTGTGAGTGAGTGAGTGTACGTGCGTTTGAGTGAGTGTATGTGCGTTTGAGTGAGTATATGTGTGTGGGTCATATGTGTATGTGCGTGGGTTATATGTGCGTGTGCGTGGGTTGTATGTGCGTGTGCGTGGGTTGTATGTGCGCGTTAATTCTCGCGTTACGTGTGCTGTGTTTCTGCGTTCATGTCTACACGAACGAATGTGCGTGAATGAAGTGCGTGTGTATACGTAAACAAAAATAAAAAGATACTGCATATAGTCTCCTTCAAATCTTAGGTACACTGTACTAGAATAATCAAACATCAATCCAAACCCCATTCGGAATAAAGAAAACACACACACACACACACACACACACACACACACACACACACACACACACACACACACACACACACACACACACACACACACACACACACACACACAAGCGTCCAGGGTTAAATGTTGCCCCTCCACATGGGACCTAGATGAGTCACTGACACTCCGCTACCACCGCAAAGTAACCCAATACTCCATCGCTGAAATCCTGAACCGATATAAGCCGACATTTTGTATTCCTTTTGTGTTTTTTACATAATAATCTTAAATAAGTGTGCTTGCGGCTTTAATTTCCCCCCAAAACACATTCTGTCACAATAAAACATAGAAATGTCAAATGAATTACGCAGATGGGAGAACAATGTATCAAAATTAAAGGGCATTTCGCCCGTTTTAACCTTTAAAACAGCAAGTATGTACTCACACTTGATAAGATCAGTCGTCCAGTCCTCACAGCAGGTCACAAAAGCACTTAAAACACTCCCAAAATAACAGAAAAAGGCAAGCAAGAGGGGTAGGGATGGCTTTCCGAAGTGACACACCCAACCCCTCTCAGGCTTGGGTCGATGTCGATCAGCTGACGTCTGTTTACATCTGCGCGGGCGTTTAGTCTCCGGTGCGGACACTCCGAGGCCAGCACATACTAAGGAAAATGTGCCTCGTGTATTTAAATGTGTTGTGTATGAGGTATATGTGTGAATCATATATCCAAATGTGTTGTATATGAGATATATGCGAATAATATATATCCAAATGTGTTGTATATGAGTTATATATGTAAAATATATATTTAGATGTGTATTGATTATATATTCAGGTGTGTCATATATGAATTGTATATTTAAGTGTGTTCTCTATAGATTGTATATTTCAGATATGAATTATATACCTAAACGTGTTGTATATGACAAATGTAACTGGGTCATATTCTTTGTTGGTATCAATAATCTAACATAATACAATAAGTATGAATTGAATCAACATCAAAGGAAAATACTAATTGTTTTTTTATGTAACTAATAAGCTGTAATATATGTGCATCATGAATTAAAGTATTGGTTATGTATTCAAATATTGGACTATACTTCAACATCATTAAAAAAAACTTACGCATCTTCACTGTAAACGTTGCTAATAATGTGCAAATTGGCCGTAATAAGCTATCTATTATTATGTATCATGCATCGTTCGTCGTGTATTGCGCCTTATTCGGGGCCCTACAATATACACCAAAGGTTACTTGATTATTAAACGAGAATGTTGAAGCTTTCCATTGTATATTAAACATAAACGGATTGCTAATCCCCCGCCTCCTAAAAGAGCAAAGAAAAGAAAAATAATATGCCAATATACATACATACACATATATAATATATGTGTGTGTGTGTGTGTGTGTGTGTGTGTGTGTGTGTGTGTGTGTGTGTGGTGTGTGTGTGTGTGTGTGTGTGTGCGTGTGGTGTGTGTGTGTGTGTGTGTGTGTTTGTATGGTTATATATATATATATATATATATATATATATATATATATATATATATATATATATATATTATTACATATATATATATAATAAAATATATATATATATATATATTATATATATATATATATATATATATATATATATATGTATATATATATATATGAAACACATTATAGCATATTGGCTACATGACAGACAGAAAGAATGATTTTCAGGTTAATAATTCTGTGAGAAAGTCAAAGGTATTGTAATCGATAAAATTTATAAGTCCTTGTGAAGTAACAATATGTATAACTACTACTGCTACTACTATCGCTACTATTCTGATAGCATACGGTACGAATAAGATAATTATGGCAGAATTGATGATATAATGGAAATGATCATAATGATAATAAAAGTAATAACATAATGATATAAATAACAATAAGTAATAATATAATGATAATAACAATAATAATAATAAAAAATAATAATAACAACAATCAATGATAATAATAACAAATGATAGTTATAATAGTAATAACAATAATAATAGCAATAATGATAATAATATTGATGATGATTATGATAATGATAATCAATAATATGATAATGAAATTATGTAATAATGATAATAAGATAATAAATAATGATGATATAACAAATGAAAAAAATGGTAAAAAAAACAATGATAAGATGATGATCGTAATATCGTAATAATAATATTATATAATAACAATAATAATGATGACATGGTAATTAATAAACATCGTTGTGATTGATAATAACAATGAAAAGGATAACAATAATAATAATAGTAACTATAATAACATTAAATATATGACAGTAAAATAATGATAATGATGATAGCATCATTGCTATTATTATTGTTGTTATTGTTACCATAATAACAATATTGATTATGATTACGATTATTGCAATGATTGTAATAACAAGTGTAATAATGATAATATTATTGATGATAATAATGAAAATAATAATGATAATAATGATAATAACAATGATAAATAATGACAATACTACTACTACTACTATAATATAATAATAATACATTGATAATAACAATATTAATATTAATAATAATAATAATAATAATAGCAATAATAATAAAGTAATAAACAATAATAAATACAATAATAATAATAACAGTAATAACAATAATAAATAATAAAAAATAATAATAAAAAAATAATTATTATATTAATAGTAATAATAATAATGACAATGAATATATTACAATTTTCCTGCGACAATAAAACATCAGTGTGACAGCCCAGAATATATCCGGGGTCACTTTAGGCTAGGCTGTTTTATATCCGGGTTATAGTTTAGACTAGGCCAGTTTATACCCCAGATATGAAATGGAACTTGGCAAGAATTCACCCAACTAGGCCAGAATATACACCTTTTTTGCACGTAACAAGTATTGCCAGAAGTTAATGACTTATGTTAATGCCGATCTTGCAGTGATGCCACAGCAGCAGATATTCTTTGTCCATTGTGGATTGAAGGCTACCCCCTCTCGCTTTACCTTCAAATCGAATTGTCTGCTTCTTCTTCTCCCTCTTCTTTTTCTCCTTCTATCCTTTTCTCTCTCTCCTTCCCTCCCCTTCTCTCTCCCTCCTCCCTTCTTCCTCTATCCGCTCTCTTCTTCCCTCCCTCCCTCTTTTTCCGCCCTCCTCCCTTCTCGCCCTCCCTCCTTTCCCCTTCCTGCCTTGAAATATCTATTCACAGGCCTAACTTGTGGAAGCATTCTGTAATTAATGGTTTGGCATACTCTGCAGGCTGCAGTATTTTCGAAAATCTGACATGCACATTTTTGCGGCAAGAATGCGGAATGGTTGAAAAGAGTGAAATGCAAGTTCTCAGATGTGAATTATCAAGATGATATACAAATAACAACCAAGAAAGGAAAAGATTATGAAACTGCTCGAGTGGAAAACCAGTGGACCTGACGGAGTAAAAGGGCACTGGCTCAGGAACTTTAAAAGTGAAAGATGGAATAATAACCGCATTGATATGACGATTATGTAACCTCTCTCCCCGACCAGGATTTGAACCAAAGACCCAGGTTCGAATCTTGGTCGGAGAGGGTAAGTTCACTTCAAAAGTGCACAGAATAGAACACCAGAGCAGATAGAGCTGGGTGGAGATACATCAAATTTGACAAAAAGCGGAACTTGTCTATAAATCAAAGCAAAGAGAACCTAGTTTCGAATTTTAAGCCCATCACATGCTTACTGATGTGGAAAGTATTGACGGGAGCATTAGCAAATGAAATAGGCCTATATCAGCATCTAGGAAGTCAGCATTCGTTTTCTTCTGAACAAAAGGGTTGTAACAGAAACCATATAGGAACGAAGGAGCATTTGGTTTTAAACAAGATGGTGATGTAGAATTGTAAAAGGCGGATGACAGGGTTATGTGTAGCATGGATAGACTACAAGAAAGTGTGTGATGAGCGTACAATATGGTTCCCCATTCATGGCTGTCTATCCATGGTGAAAACATCTGGTAATAGAAAGGACAATGTCAATAATCCGATATAGGGCTGGTATAATAGAGGAGCAGAGAGATGTTCACTATACACAGACATTACACCCACGTGTAGACATCGACAGATTGCACACTAAATGAAAGGAAGGAGGAAGGGGACTATTAAATGCTAGAGAGAATGTAATGGTTGATAAAATAGTTTGTCAAACTATGCGAGAAATTCGGATGATCAGAGACGTTCTGAATAATGATAATGATAATGATATTGATAGGCCTAGTAATGATGATAATGATAATGATGATGATAATAACGATAATAGTGATAATAATAATATTGATAGTTAATGATAATGATGATAATCATGATAATAACAATAATTATGATAAAATTTATAATGATAGTAATAACAATATTAGTGATAATGATAATGAAAATAATAATGATAATATTTTTTATTAATACAATTAGCATTATCAATATCATCATTATCATCATAGAATGACAGTAAACCAATAATGAAATGAAGAAAAACAAGATAATGATAACAACAATGGTTGTAATAATGATAACAACAGTAGTAGTAATAATGATATTGATAATGATAGTAATGATAATAAAATGAAAATAATGATATTTGGTAATAATAAAGAATAATGATATGGTAATGATAAAAGGAAAAAATAATAACAGTAGAAATAATGACGTTAGCAAATAACTAAATAAAAGATAAAAACAATGATGATAATGATAATGTTAATAGTAATAATAACAACAGTAATAATGACAATGACAATGACGCTAATGATAGTAATGACAATAATAACAACAATTATAGTAATAACAATATACTAATGATAGTAATGATAATGATAACAAATAATGATAGCAATAATAATGATAATAACAATGATAATGATAATAATAACAATTATGATAATAATTATAATAATGATGAAAATAATATTATTAATGGAAATGATGATAAACATAATAATGATAATAGTAGTAATAAAAATAATGACGATAATGGTGATAATAATGATAACAATGACTTGTATTAATAATGATATTGATGATAATGGTAATAATAATGTTGGTTATGATAATGATGATTATTGATGATAATGATAATAATTATTAGTAAAAGTAACAATAACAGTGATAATGAAATAACAGTAATATGATAATAATACACTACTACTGTTAATAATGGTAATAATAATGATAACAGTAATGATATTGATAATGATAATATTGATACGGATTATTATAACAACGACAGCAATAATGATAATGATGATAACAATAGCGACAATGATAATGATAACATTAGAAATGGTGATAATTACAACAGTGATAATAATGATTATAATAGTTGTAATAAAACTAAAAGTAGCAATATTACTACACCAACTACTGCTACTACTTGCGGTGCATAATATACTACTAAATACAATGACTACTGCTATTTCCTCTATGAAATCGCTACTGTAGAATGAAAAAGTACATATTTCTTGTTTTAATTCTGCTTAGGAATAAATTTAATACTGATGTAAGCCTTTAAATTAATTTCGAATTTTATGTTAACTGATTTTTGCATTGCATTTTGGTTCATTTGGCATTTATTTGTAAAGGGATGCGGTGTATAAAGGGTTTTTACAATGACTATAACTATGAAAAACAAATGTTTCGCCTTCATCAAAAGTATTTATTAAAGACATAGGTTATGATCATGTTGTTATGATAAAATGAAATCATATTTTTTGCAAAATGCGAGAGTCGTGCATACTCATTTATAGAATATAATGACGTCATAGAACTCAGGAATTCACATATTCTAATATATCTGTTTCGCCTATTATATGAATTGACAACATCGGTTTATAAATTGAATTCCCTTATTTTTATCTTCTTCTCTAGTGAATTAGAATAGGAAATAGAGTTATTCATTTAATGTTTTGATACGAGCCACACGTGCTTTGAACTCTGGTATGGAAATCAGTTATTATTGTTATTATTATTGTTTGATTTATTCTGTGTTCGTGTGTGTTATGCATTTGGTGTATTAATCGGAATTAGCGATTATGACACATGCCCGCAAGCTTTCAATTTTTGAGAATTGACTAATGGATATGATGAGTAAATTTTTCAACCATTCGGGATTTTCTCAATAATCTGTTATATTATTTTTTCGGTTGATAAGCAACCCCTACGTAACTCTGCGGTTTTTTTTGATAGCTTAAAGTCTACATTAAAAGTTGCAGCGTTTGTTTTATACTTCAATATGAAACGTTGCAATTCTTATATGTATTTTCCCATTTCTCTTCTTTAATTAATTGACTCCTTACTGTCAGCATTTTAGTGGTCATTCAGAATAGGACAATTGTGTAGTGCAAATATAGTTAATTTCTTAGTGTCTTTAATACTGAATTCTACAATGTTTTAGTATTTGTTTCTTTTTATACGAGCTTGCAATCAAAAGTAATGTACATTTTGAGTTAATGTTTCCGAGAGCGATGCTTATAGATAGAGGGAAATGGATGCTGCCATCTTCTAAAGCATAAGAAGTAGAGGCATAACAACACAGGTTTAGCTGTATTGGCCTCATATTTACTGCTAAACGATGAAAATATGTGCTACATATCACGACTCATAGTCTAAGACCACAACACCCTCACACAGCCAGAGTTCTCAATGTTGACACAAAGTGCCAAAGGGGTGTATAGGAGGGTTTCCCCCCCTCGTGTAGGAAATTGATAGAAACTGGAAAGGTTAGGTTTGGATTTTTGGGTGCGCATGATACGCTGGTTTTGGGACTTCATCTCAGGAGGTGCCTCGCTCTCGGTAACAAATACCACATTTTGTCATTCTTCCTAATATGCAAAGTTTTTTATACTGTATCTTGTGGCTGTGTGAATTCTAAAGTATAATCATATATATATATATATATATATATATATATATATATATATATATATATATATATATATATATATATATATATATATACACACACACACATGGCGCACGCATGGCACACGCACACGCACACGCACACGCACACGCACACGCACCACGCGCACAAACACACTCATATATATATATATATATGTATATATATATCTTTCTTTATATTATGTTGCAGAGGCGTATTGGAGTGCCTGAGTTTTGATTGATTGATTGATTGATTCATAGATTTTTTTTTTTTTTTTTTTTTTTTTTTTACATATTGATTTTCATTGGTTAATCTTTACAGTATGGAGGTACTAAGCTACTAAGCTAAGGTAAATTGAAGATCATTTTCTTTTTGAGGACTAAAATTTGCTAAAGTTGTTATAAGAAATGATTTGCAGACACAAACAGACCATAGATAAAGGAAAAAGATTGCGGAAAGTATCACTCAGCAAAACTTGGTGCTCCTGAGTTCCAGGTCTATCTTGCCGTTCATACTGAGGTGAAAGTAGTGTTTTCTGGGGGTAGTTGGTATCCCAATTAACCATTCTGAAAGGCGTGTCCAGTTGCAGTAACCTATATTGTTGAGTAAAGTTCGTGACATGGAGTTGGGGCGTAGGCTGTGTAACTGTCCATACTGTAAAGAATTACCATTTTATTTTTTGTCATTTATTATATTATGGTAAAGTTTTGCATTCACACTGTCATTGGGGGCATTTCTGAGATAAATTGATAATAAAAATTTATTTGATAAGAATCAGACAAAGATTCTTACATTCAATGACTATGAGAAAGTTAAAAGTTATTGTACTAGATTATTTTAATATCTTAATTAAACGTATATACCCTTTCTCTCTCACATGTTATGAATATATATATTGTGAATTTACTGTGAATATTAGATATTAAATGTGAAACTAATTACTGAAAACTGTTAAAGTAAATATCAGATATTATATTATTTAACCATAAGGCCACAGGAATGAAAATTCCTGTTTTGCATCCAGGCAAAAAGGAAAAATGATGAGGCTATTTTACATTATTCATTATTCATTATTTATTTCTAGAAGCATTTAAAGAAATTAACAAAAGCTTTTCAGAGTCATCAAGTCATCTTAGTTCTTGTGGGTAATCATGACACTTTTCATTCATATTTATAAGTAAAAGTATTCTCTCTAAAAAGTATGACAAAAGAACAGCTTTTCAAAGTCATCGTCATATTATTAGGGAAGTAATGTAGTTTATTGAAAAAAAGTGATATTCTTTGGCGGCAATTGTCAGGACCTACAGGTGGTGGATGCAAAACAGGAACTTTGATTTTCATGGCCTAAAGTGCACATAATGGCTTACCAAATATAATGTTTTTCTGGGAGTCATATTAGCCATGCTTTATCCAAATCCACTAGATATCTCAAATGGATTGTGTGCAATAATAAAACCAAGTAGCATGCATCATGCTAAGTGAAGGGCCAACAGACCACCATCAAAGGATTCTTTTATTGATAAGCCTACAGCAGACACACAGATATCTTCCAAATATTTATCTTATATGTCACTTAGTGAGGTATCTGCTGCTTAACAAATATTGAAACTCTAATCATTTAATATATGCCCTATTTATTTTTGGATTCTATATTATATAATTGATACAACAGTTTTTTATACCCCTGTATAGTCGTTAGATTGATGTAACGTATAATTCCTTGTTTTCTAAGTGGTATATTATATTATTGTTCAAGAAGTTTTTGAAAATGAGAGGCATATTTTCCTATACTAAAAACAAAATGTCCATTTTGAGGCAAATATATCTAGGAGATATATGTAATTGATTTATTTGGTTAACTAATTAATGAGTTTTAGTTTTGAATGAATCAGAAATTTTGTTTTTTATTTGATTTCAAGATATAGCCAAACTATGTGATATAGCAGATTATTAAAAATCCACTTCTTTTCACTGTAATAGTGCATGAATTATCTATTTATTTTAATTTCATGTGACACCAGATAGAAGTACCTCAACCCCAGTAAAGATGGTGGTCATTATAGGACTGGAAGGAAGTGCAAATAAGTGCGGAATAGGTATCATCCGAGATGGAGAAGTCCTATCGAATCCAAGACGGACATATATCACTCCACCTGGACAGGGCTTTATTCCTCATGACACGGCTAAACACCATCAGGTAAAGAAACTATTGCTTATGCTATTCTTTGTGTTATATTTTCTATATGTATGATATAAAAGTAATTTGGTTTTGGATGGGGGAGGAAAATAATTTGATGGGTTATTTTTATATTTACTGATGAGTCCATTATCTTGATGCCATCTAATAGAATCTTGATTTGTCATGTAGAATGTTTGTGATTTTTTTTCTCTTTGTCAGAAAACATGTAACCTAGCTCTTACTATTATTTTCATGTGAATCAAAAATTATCTATATTATTTCAGGCACATGTATTGGAAGTACTGCACCAGGCTTTAGCTGAAGCCTCTATAACTCCTGAAGAAATAGATGCTGTTGCTTTTACAAAGGGGCCAGGGATGGCAGCCCCTCTGATCAGCATGGCAGTTGTGGCCAGGACAATTTCACAGCTGTGGAACAAGCCTCTGGTTGCTGTCAATCACTGCATTGGGCATATCGAGATGGGTAGGCTAGTCACAGGAGCTCAGAATCCAACTGTATTATATGTAAGTGGGGGTAATACACAGATTATTGCATACCTGGGTCAGAGGTACAGGATATTTGGAGAAACAATTGATATGGCAGTTGGCAACTGTCTGGATAGGTTTGCAAGGATTTTGATGCTGTCCAATGCTCCAAGCCCAGGCTACAATATTGAGCAGATGGCCAAGAAAGGTAAGAAATACCTGCCACTGCCATACTGTGTGAAAGGCATGGACGTCTCTTTCTCTGGCATTCTCTCATACTTGGAAGAAAGAGCAGATAAGCTTCTCAAAACGGGTCAGTACTCCAAGGCAGACCTTTGCTTCTCACTGCAGGAGACAGTGTTTGCCATGTTGGTGGAGACCACAGAGCGGGCCATGGCTCACTGTGGCTCACAGGAGGTCCTCATATGTGGGGGTGTTGGCTGCAATGTGCGCTTGCAAGAGATGATGGGGAAGATGTGCGAGGAGCGAGGGGCTAAACTCTTTGCCACCAATGAAAGCTTTTGCATTGACAATGGAGCCATGATTGCTCAGGCTGGGTACTGCATGTTCCAGTCTGGTATTACTTCTACGTTAGACGACACGTGGGTTACACAGAGATTTAGAACAGATGATGTTCCTGTTGCTTGGAGAGATTGAGTTAGGATTGATGTCTGTTTCTAATAATATTTTATTAATGAAGTACAGTTGTGATAGGCATTTGGTATGAAATACAAAGTAACCAAAATATGCCAGACTTGACTTTTTTTCTATAATGGGGTGGGAGGGGGGCAAGTTTTAATTAAATTATTTGAACCCTTGTAAAACAAATTAAATTTATAAATAGAAAATTGTTTTATTTAAAAGTTTCCAGCATACTTCAGTTTCCATATGTCATGTTCCAGACTTGAATTTTCAAAAGTCTCATTATCATGTAAGGTAAAAGAGAAATGAAACTTCAGATACAAAAGTTTATATATTTCAAGACTATTACAGCCTTTACAGTGTTAAGATTTCAGAATAAAAATCAATGACATTTACACTTGCCACAAATAGCAAAAAGGGGCAAGCCTTAATGCTCTTAATAGAAAAAAAAAAAAATTATTTGCCATGGCAAGCCTGAAATCCCACTCAATCCTGTGCTCGTTGTTGTGGGGGGCTTAGGAAATAAAGACTGAAGCCCATTGTAGGGGATAACCCATACCTTGGACCTCAGCCCTCAACTTAACTAATTTTGCATGATCTTTTCTTAACCACATTTCCTTTCCCTTCTCTTCATCCCCTTCTTGTGTCACCATCCAAAAGTGTGAGAAATATACTGAAAGGTTGGCTTTGGGTTTGTCGTGAACGGTCTTTGCACTCGGTTTGTTCTTCCCTTTTCGTCCTTTTCACTAGCATACTAACCTACAGTGCTCTACAACCTTTGACATCTAACTTATTTTGTCCTAATTGTTAACTTTTACCCCTTTACCTCAATACTCTATCATAGTGCTGTATGACCTGTGATGTTGGTGCATTTAATTGTTTTGACCATTAACTGTTCTAAGAATCCATAAACATGCCTTATGAACCAAAAAAGCTTCCTTATCCAGGGGCTTTGTCCCCAAGCCTGATCCTCTCACTAATATTTTGAATACACTGTAAATGATCTTAGATGGTGATGCTGCAGAAAATTTTCAAAAAATATGAAAATAAGCCTAAAATTAATGGGCAAGAGAAATTGTCTACCCCTCAGGGTACCCATAAGGGGTAAGAGCTCCCAGTGGCCATTCTGACACAAAGCCAGCCTTTCATCCTTTCAGCATGGCTCTCACACCTTAGGAAGCGGTCAGAAGAGAATGAAAAAGAGAAGTAAAAGGATAGGGGGAGAAGAAAATATGATGCAAAATTATTTGAGGTGAGGGCTGAGGTCCAAGGTAGGGGTGATCTCCAATACTGGACTTGTCTCCATTTCCTTAGCCCCCTCATTACAATAATGAGCAAGGTATTCGGGAGGATCATATCGACAGTAGATACCATCTTGTGTGCATAAAAAGGTATGTTTATTTATTATTATTATTATTTTGTCTTTACCGGTCCATCTCATTTGTTTCATCATGCATACACTTTTTAAATAGAGCACAGATATTAATGAGAAAAGCGGTATTGAAAAATAACGATGAAAGTTGTCAGACATTCAGACAGCGGTAACATGCTGGACTAGCACTCTTGCGGACCTGTGTTCAATCCCACGCCCAGCCAGTGAATGGTAACCCCGGCCATTCCTTGCACAAAGGGGGAGATTTGGGCAAAATAAAACAGACAGTGTCACAGCAAAGAATATCCATTGTAACAAATGGAATTAAAACTAAATCTTAAAGAAAGAATCTTTAAACCATGTCAAAAGACTTGGCATCCTTGGAGACTGATTTTCAAACTTATATGTAAAAAACTGAGACATAGTAAAAGAGATAAACAAACAATAAAGAAAATGAAAAAAATTGGGATTAATAACATTTATCATAAATAGTTTTTATATTCAGCTGAACCATGGGTAGTGTAAGTAGGATTGTATATTCACAGTCAAAAAACTCTTGTCAAACTTATTTCAAACTCCATTTTGAATATCTGCATAATATCACACTTTTTGTATAAGGTAAGACATTTTTTAGCTTCAATTCATGACATTACTTTTGTCTGGCACTGTACCAAAGCTTAGAATAAAAAAATAAAAAAATGGGTAGGCACAGCCCCCTTAGGGATTATCTCTAAAACTTTTTGGTTACAGAACAATCATTGAATAGTTTAAAACTTTTTTTTCTGTCATTGTTCTTATAAGCTTATTGGCCAAGATCAATGACCTTATCATTGTCCAGTGCTTAACCAAATGGCTTCTGATACAATGAAAACATACCATTCCCATTGTAATTTTGATTTATTAATTGTTTTTACACAGAAATGGCCCCACAAGGAGTCAGTTATTAGTCCTACCTATTTCACCTGTTTATCCATTTCCTTGATTTTTGGCAAGATTCTTTGAAGCATGTTATAATCTTCATTTTTATTAGTATTTTGATGAGATTTTAATCAAAATTTCAATAATAATAATAAAAGATTCAACATTAAAATTAAAAAAACAGCAAATTTAAGGTATGGGGAACATCAGGTGTGGTCACTCAAGCCTACTAATTGACTCCTTGGTGGCTGAGAATTTGTGGACCTATTTGTGTGCAACAAAATTCACTAAAAAGTACAGTGGATAGTACTTAAACTTTCAGCCAGTGGGTTAAGAAGCTTCAACTACAGCTACTGAAATCCAACATAGAACTGGCATTTTCAGTTTCCAATTTACTGGAAGACTTGATTTTTTCAAAGGATAGCTGTTTGGCAAAAAATAAGAACATTGATAAAAAATGAAATAAAAACTTGAAAGGCTTATTGCCAAAAACATATGATGCATTTATTAGCCAAAATACCTTTTATTTCTGTCAACTTTCATGTCCAATTCCAGATAGGGAAAACATACTCCAAAATATACTGCATTCTACTATCATGCAGGATCTAAAATGTCTTAGCAAAAATGAATAGATTGGAAGAAAAATAATTCAATCTTTTCATGGAATTTAGCATCTGGATATGTGGCAAGTTCAATGTTTCTTCAATCATCTTCAAGATTTATAACAATGAGATTAGAATCAGAAAGAGAAAACTAGAGGATAGGATACTATGCAGAGGAAAATGGGTATGTTGTCATTTAGAATAATGGTTACAAAAACTTTCACCTCCTTGGCTCCATTTTGTTTATTTTAGCATAGGACCCCCTTTGTTTAAGTCAATTTTCCCACAGATCCCTGTTTTTTGTAGGCATATCTGCTTAACCAACAGCAAGCTCTCTTTTCCTGATGCCATCTGTTATTGTAACAGAATCTGCAATTTAATTTAATAAATGGGAATACTAAAATGAGAGTGAGAGAGAGTGAAAGAGTGAATGAGTGAGTGAGAGAGTGAGAGTATGAGTGAGAGAGAAAACTCATGCACCTTATGGAGCTTCTTTCTCTGCAAATCTCTAGTTCTAGGATAAATATGGGGAGCTCAAGGAGTAACTTCACTGTTATACTGTGTATAAAGATAATTCCAAGCACAAAAATGCTGAAGCTAAAGTTCTATCAGCTACAAAGCAAAGTCAAGTTGTCTTATCCTGAATAACTGCTCTATTTCATTATAACTGGTCTTTGCTCACATTTATGTTGGTTTCCTATTCTGTTGGAGTCTCATTTACCCTACTGTCAAGAAGAAAAATTACAGACAGCAGGTGATATCACATCCTGAATGATGGTACCCCCCAATCTCATGCTCTTTGTCGTTGTGGTGGAGCTTACAAGACAAGGACTGACGCCCAATGTAGGGGTTCACCTCTGCCTTGGACCTTAGCCCTTGCCTCAACTAATTTTGCATGGTCTTTTCTTCTTCGTCTTTCTTTTTTCTTCTCTTCTTCTGTCCACATCCTTAAGTGTGAGAGCTATGCTGAAAGGATGAAAGGCTGGTTCTGTGTCAGTCCTGAATGGCCTTCATACTCCATTTGCTATTCCCTCTCTACCCTCTTTACAACCATACTAACTTACAGTGCTCAACAACCTTTGACATCAAATATATTTTGTCCTAATTGTTAATTTTTTACCTTTTTGCCATAGTACTTTTTCATATGCTATATGACCTTTTCTTACCTGGGAGCTTTGCCCCCAAGGCTCACCCTATTGCTATACTTTGAACATGCCGCGAATGATCTTAGATGTTGGTGGGGCAGAAATTTTTCAAGAAATAAACAATGGTATGAGATCTTCCAAATCCTACAAAACGCCAGACAGCTGCTAAAGTGTGCAGTTACCGACACACTCAACATTTTGCCACTTTCTTACAAAGAGTGTACACGTTTCCCTTACTTTATTTCATGAGTACCTTCTATGCTATAAATCCTTTGATACTTGCAATTTTATGAAGTATTTTGTATTAAATTTTCAAAGTCACTTTTCCACAAATCATATTCCTTTAAACATTGGAAGGGCAGGTCACGTTGTTGTACTGTTCTTTAAGATAGAATGAAGCTGATCTACTTAATTTTTTCTATCTATTACAAAGCATGTTTTCCCCACTCTTGAAAGAAAGTAGGTTTAGCTGCCTGTAATCTCAGAAGCTAGTCTTTACTATGAGAAATAAAATTAATATAACACTAATGTGAACAGCAGCTTTGTATGAAAATAAAAAAAACATTAGAACTACACAAATCCCTGAAAACTGTACTGGAAAAAAGTAAAAACTATGGTGGTTCAGATTTGAAAACACTTGTGCAAAGATGCTGTGTTGTAATCAAATATAAGTGTTGATCAATGTTTTGCTTAAGAACAATGTTTGCATGTGAGGTCACAGAAATATCCTGTATACAGCAAAATGTTTAAAAACGGATAATCAGCTTATACACTAAAATAGTAGGTCTCTTTCACAATACCTTTGCCACACTCAAATATCAATAACATGTACATACTAATTATATCATGAATCAGGATGATAATTTGTAAAGTAGCATTTGCTGTGCATGTGTTGTTTGGAGGTTAAAAGAGGACTAGAAAATATGAGGGTTTTATTGAAAATTGAAATGGGAAATGTCATTTACTGAAACTGACATATTCCTCAACAGTTATTTGGTCAACATAAAGATATAAAACTGTTAAACAGGTTTAATAGCATTGCAGATCATCTGATACAAAGTGTTTGAGCTACAGTTTTCCTGCTCAAGCAAAACGAAGTAGATGCAACACGTTGAGGAGAAAAATTACACAAAAATAAAACAATGGACAATCAACTTTACCAAATTAGT